ACGGAGTTCGCATTAGCGTTACTTTTGTTTATACATGAAGCAGCCGAAGACCGTAGAGGGTCGATAACTTGCCCAGGCTCACATGCCTAGGAAGTGGAGGAGCGGTGTGGCCCCAGAGCCTGGTGTCTTACCATTATTATGTCTGTTACCTCCCAAGCAGGCTGCCATCATTCATCCCTTTTCTAGAAGAGCAACATGCAGTGTCGAGGAGAAATACAGCGAAGAGGGTTTGTTTCCGGCGCTACTCACTTTCTTTTTCTTATCTCTCTAATGTTTCTTTTATCTAGGCACCCATTACTTACTGAATGTTCAAAGCTTCCAAATAACATTGTACTATAAATATCATAATGGACACCTACTAAATATTTATAGACTGAATGGTTGAACCTCATTGGAGCAGGCATTATTATTTATGGAAACTGAGCTCCAGGAAATTAAATAACTGCTGAGGGTTACATAATTTATTAGCTGTGGAACTAGAGTCTCAGTTCATCTCTGATTTACTCCAGTCCCTGAGTGTTCCCACCTCATTATAAAGCTTCCTGTTTAATTCCTCCAGGGTCTTCTCCTCACCAAAGTTTCAATATAACACTCTTTTCCCTCTCTTTCCTCCTCCTTTTCGGTCTCTATATTGAAATTTTGTAACCCTCAGTCTGCTGAGTAAGCTCTCCTTGAAATTAAGAGACAAAGTAAAGTGGGTGATCAAAGTCCTACTAACAGGGGAATGACTAATGTCAAAAATGACACTAGTAGTGAAAACCTACTCTCTACTTATTATGTCCCCTTTAGTCCTCACAATGGCCCCAGAGGGCAGATATTTTCATCCCTATTTTGTAGATGAGGACACATGATGGGGCCTGGAATTCTCTTTGGCTATAAAGCATACCATTTCAGAAACTGTATTTCATAATGTAAAAGATTATCCTAGTCACTCAAAAACCCCTTCAATAGAAGGACCGAATGGCCAAATCGGTAAGGAAAACAATATTTCAACAACATGGAAAGGTTTTTAAATTAGATTATACCACAGGTTCTTAGTTATGGCTTCACTTTAGAATACTCTGGGGAGCTTCTAAAAAATATCCAACCCCATCACGAAGCAAGTAAATTTAAATCTTTTCAGTTAGAGCCTAGAAGAGATTTTTTTAAAAAGCCCTTTAGGTGAGTCCAGGGTGCAGCCAGGGTGGATAACTACACAGCATCTGTAGGGAATTATGAGGGAACAGCCATGGTCAATGTGTGAGTTGTTCTCTCATCACCCTGTAGAACTACAGGTGTGTTAATGTGGTGTGTGTGTGCAACAGATGTCTGTAGACTGAATGATGGAAATCTGGAAAATTAAGATTATGTGCATTGAAAAGTACTATACAGATATATTGTATAAATGTATATCCTTTGGCATAAGTAAGAGGTACTTACCATAATATTGTGCCTAATTGTGTTAGTTGGGGAAGTCAGAATTCGCTCATAAACTTTTTATTATGCCATGGTTTATAAAAATATACCTTTACTAAAGTTATGATGTCACAGGCACCTTCTACAGTCCGGTGTCTAGGGATGGAGGAAAGCCCTTGAGAAACGTGTGCCTGATGGCAGTAATTGCTACATTTCCTTCCTTCCCATCCTCCCCTGGTCTTATTACTCTTTCCCTTCCCTTTCATCTCTCCCCTTCCCTACACAGAAGAGAAATTTGAGAGGTACTAATAGTGTTAATTAAGACGAAAGTGTTAATTTTATAGATTAAAAAAAAGGATCTGTTTTTTTGTGCTCCTCATCCTTCAGTCCATATAATAATAAAGAAGACTGAGTTGATTATAGAGTTTGGTCTGCCAATTCTCAACAAAAACAAAAGCAAAAAAATCAGAGGTTAAATATACCATTTTGCTTAAATTCTTCTTCTTTCCAAAATGTATTTGAAGCTGCATACAACATAACTTGCAGAAATAAAGATAAAAGTAAAGATCTTAGAAAAGATGATGTAGCCTTATGATAACCTCAGGAGCTTAGCCGAATTTTGTGAATGAGTAATAAATTTACTGTGGACTTCCGGATAGGAGGAGAAGAAACAGTTTACACAATGTAGTTAGCAAAAAGGAGGAAGTGTACAGTGATTACTCAGGGATGACAAGAAACTTCTTCCTTGAGACTTTACAGGGGACATTATTTGTCAGGATAGCAATGTCCTTGACTAGAGCTTCAAAACAAATACCAAGTAGTTCTTGTTATTTCTCTTCCTGCTAGTTGAAGACATAATGTAAAAGCCCAACTCAGTAAGGTTGACCTTCTAAGGAGATGTTGGATTTGAGCTGATCTTTATAATATACCTTATTTGTTCTTTGTTTATTTTTATCATTTCCTCCTTGCTTTCCATTAAAGATTCTTTTAAATCACAGTGTAGATGAATGAATTCTGTTTTTAACCTATGACACCATTTTGTGTTCCCTCAGTTAACTGTTTACTAACAAGAGAAATTTAGAACTTTCTTTAGTTGCTCAGGATCCTTTGAAGGCCTGAGATCTGCCCAGTCTTATGTTGGCTTTCGTTTTCCTTAAAGTGACATTTGTGGAGGGGGGAGAGGCTGACAGGCCGAGTTGTCTGTGTGGAAGGTAGCACAACCAGGGCTCGCATGTGTGGATGGTATTGATATGAGCCAGAAACACCTTTCCTCTGATGACTATGCAGCTTCAAAAGTAATGGTGAGATTTAGTGCACCCTAAAATCTTATGGTGGCAGGCATGAGTATGGTTAGAAAAGCAAGAGGTGCTCTGCTTCTTCCAATGAAATTAGCTGGCAGAGTGCCCCACCTTCCCAAAAGAGTGAATTCCACATTTGGCAAAGGTTTTTTTTCCCTTCTTCTTTCTTAGAGTCTTTTGCTTTTGTTTTCTGGCCCTCAAGAGTAATAGTGAGCTGAATCTGAACTGAATGAAGAAGGCAATTTTTGCCATGCAAGATCTGTTTGTGTAAACTTGAATTTCAGTTGTCTTTTTCATTTTCTTTTTGGCAGCAAACATTAATGCTTGAGGACACACTGCCACTCATTTTTGGAACACACCAAATATTTGGGTTTTTTTCTGTATGCAGACAAAATCAGCTTCAAGTTGTTTCTGTATATACTAAATGTAAATATTTAGATAAAACAAGGCTATAAATTATGTAATGTACTCCATCATCTGTGGAATTATGAATTGTTTCCTGTGGTAGATTGAAAAATTTATTGAACACTTACTTTGTAGAGGCATTTTAATGGAGTAGGGACACACATTATATGCAATAGACCTGGGGCCATCCCACTCTAAACTTCTAGTCTTGTTGAGAAGTGAAAATATTAAATTAAATTAGTTAAATTATTTTAAAGTAGAATGGTTTTCAGCCACCAAGTCATTCACTGTGGCGAAGTTAAACATGCATGTGTTTGGGGCACCATAGGAATGAGAGTGTGATGAAGTTAGAGAGAGGTGCAGAGTAGGTAGATTTTAAACCAAGTACTAAAGGAGACAACACGTGTTGTCAGTAGATTAAGATCATATTTTGGATGAGGAAGGGGGGAAGATTAAGATCATACTTTGAAAGTTGTTTTGTGTTTTGGGGAAAGTTTTTGAGTTGGAGAACCTGTCTGATAATAATTTTCATTACAATATTAAAATATAATGAATAAGTTACTTTTAAAATATGAGTAAGGATCTGGTGAATGACTCATTTATTCAAATATTTGAAACAAAATTATAGTATGACAAAATAATAATAATAATTTCAGTGTATTTTTATATCTATACACACATATGTATATAATTTTGTGTATAAACCCAGCGAGTTCCTTGTTGTTCAGATGATACACTTTTTATCATCTGTTGGTGTAAAATTAAATTTCAGTTTTTTCACCTGTCATCTATCATCTTCAATAGTGTGACTGCTCTTTTTGTTTTATTTAAAGCCCTATACTTTAATACTTTATGATTTTTATTTAGAAAGGTATTTTTCTTTGCTTCTATTTAAAAACTAAAATTCAGAAAACAATATATTAGGATCTCTCTTCTGATCTTTTAAATTTAACAGTCTAAAAATAAGCTTTGAGTTTGTTTTGGGTTGTTTTTGCAGCATTATTGTATTTATCTCAAGATTCTTGTAGGTTATTTTTTTTCTTTTTAAAGGGGTCTTTGGAATCTATGTATAAGTAACCTGAAAAATGAGTCTTCTCTTACTCATACACAAATATAGCTTTTAATATTATAGTTATACTTCATTTAGACATACTCCATTGGGACAACTAATTGGTCATGATGAAAAAGATTAGTTTGTGGTTCTTTCTGCTTTTAAGTTATATTGCTCCTCTGAGGAATCCATTGCCATCCATCCATTCATCCATTTATTCTTTTATTTGCTCATCTCCATTAATTCTTGTATTTGTTCATCAAATATGTGTTAAGTGTCCACAGTATTCAAGAGAATGAGCTGGTGTCTGGATGGGTGAGAAGGTGCTACAAAATTGCCTACCTCATGACACTCTGGGAGAGAAAAGTAGAAAATATTAATTTTCATTAGTAACATGGTTAAGTAACATGATTTAGGAATTTGAAGATAACAATGAAAACTTTCAACCTGTAGGGAGGTGGGTTAAGTGCTCCAGAAATACTTTTTTAGTTAAGCTGACCAGTTCAATCTTTGGAGTTACTTTTTTGGATGGAGGAACATGTTTACTCCTTAGAATTCAGTAAAATGAATATGATCGAAGATAGTTGTTCTCATCTCAAAATGCCTAGACCATGCTTAGATTTTCAAAACATTTCACACTGTCAGTACTTTTATTTTTGTAGTTAAAATAGACATTACTAAGTACTCATTAACATGGCAAAAAGTATGAAGAGCTGTACACCCTCAAAGCTCATCTTTCCTTTTCTTACTGAAGATGCCTTTGTTGCAATGTGACCATAGTTTTTGAGAAGTGCTTATTATCATCTTTGCTTATTTTTCTTTATTTTAATATTATAAAACATTATTTTCAGAGGCAAAATCAGTAAAGGCTTGGAGGATTTAAAACGTGTTGTTCCAACAGGAGAGACATACATCCATGAAGGACTAAAGCTAGTAAGTTCTTTTGTATTTATGTGCACAGGAGAGATTGTTTTCTAATGCTGTAGTGAAATAATTTCTAACTCTCGGGTAAAACCGGAATACCCCATTATGTGTTTATCCCAGAAAAAAACTTTAAATTCCTTTAGTTGTTCTAGGATTGAGGCTGATAGAAAACATTATGTATCATGGTAGTAAGAAAAATTTAGATGCCATTTTGCCTTTTAGGGAATTTTCTATTTCCTCTATGGTTATAGTTAACCAAAGCTAAAAATCTATGTCATTTAAAACCAATAATAACTACTCTATAATATAAATATATGCATATTTGAAGTAAAATAGTTAACACAAATAAATGTCATGTTTCAAAGGCCAGTCTATAATATTATGATTTTGTCAGGCTTACTGATTCAACTTGACAGAACATGGTGGTTCAAAGTTAAGATTAAATTGCGAGTTGGATAATTATTCTTCATTTTCAGGCAAACGAACAAATTGAGAAAGCGGGAGGCTTAAAAACCTCCAGTATCATAATTGCTCTGACAGATGGTAAGCTGGATGGTCTGGTGCCATCATATGCAGAGAAAGAGGTGAGTATTTAACTGAGACTGTGGTTTACACCCTGGTGTATTTGCTGTGTGTCTGTGCCTGTGTAGCCTGATATTTGAATAATTCACCTTTCTCATTCTCCATCTACCTCTATTTCTATTTCTGTCCGTAGGCAAAGACATCCAGGTCATTTGGGGCTAGAGTTTATTGTGTTGGTGTCCTTGACTTTGAACAAGCTCAGGTGAGCACAGCCAACCTGCAAACTATAATTTAAATCACATAATTGTTTCAAGGATAGTTTATCAAATTCTTTTCATTGATGACTTATGACATTAATTGTTAAAGTTTTCTATAACAAGGGCCATATTCTTGTATGTCTTCATTAATAATGTCTGATTTTGACAGGTTTCATTACTGAAAACAAAACTCTAAATTTATAGAATATTTATTTGGTTTGGAGAAACTGATATGGGACAAATGTTTGGGTTAAAATAATATGAGTACTCCTGTTCTTTAACTCAACTGACAAGATTATTATGACAGTCATATTTAGGTGTTTTAGTTTGACTTAAAACTAAATCCTTAGGGGTGAAGGGATTTATGAAGTTTGCTTCCAAGAAATCTTTAATAATTTTCCTTAAAAACAATTTTTTCATGAAGTTTTAAGAGTTTATATATTAAAAAATTTTTTTACACTCATCAAGTGATTTTACACTTAAATTATTGGTTGAGTATGACTAAGACTTCTGTTTCTTATAACTGTCTCATTTGTAGCCAATAGGGATTCATACTGTTTTGAAATTGAAACTTGAGGTCAATGTAAAGGGGCTGTGGCTGATCTCAGTTCATGTCATGGCGACACATTAGAGTTTCTCTAGTACAATCACCTTCCATTTCTGACAGGCCACCCAGGTGGATTAATCCTGTGGTATAATTTTTCAAAAGAACATAATTAAAATGTAACGAAGTTTATAAAATGTTATATGTCTCAACCACCTCTTAATTAAATTTCCCTTTTTTCTAAAGCTTGAAAGAATTGCTGATTCCAAGGAACAAGTTTTTCCTGTCAAAGGTGGATTTCAAGCTCTTAAAGGAATAATTAATTCTGTGAGTATTTCTCTGGGAGCAGAAAAGGCTCATAATTTCAGAGCCTTTAAAATATTTTAAACTGTAAGAAGTAATCTTGACATCTAGTTGAGATAGTCATTATCTTGAAGAAAAAGACTAAGGAAGACATTTGTTCAGTACTGCAAACACAGTGTAGTGTGATTCTAAAGATTTAGATTTTGTTTGTTAGACTTTGTATTAATTCTTGCAAATTGAGCTTCATGAGATTGGGTTTGTGATTTCAAGTGTAAGATTTTCATAAACCATCTTAGATGCTTCCACCATTTGAGCCTGGAGTTTCTCACCATCTTGATATCTGGAGAGTTTTATAGGCTTGATAGAAGAAATGTAAAATAAAAATTGGGATTGGAATGTGTGATTACTTTCTTTCCAATATGGTATTTCCTAGCTGTTAGTCAGGCAACTTGAACCACCGGCTGAATATTGGACTGCTCTTGTTGTTCTTTCCATTTTCATGATTAACAGTTTCATTGGAGCTCATAACATCTCTGTTTTGAATTCAGCTGAGCAGTCTCTGGTGATCATCAGAATCTGGGCTCTCCTGAGCAGGGTGTGGGGAAGTGGGATGATGAAATGCAAAGCAAAACTGCTGGGCTTTCACAGCTGAGCTTTATGTTTCGTTTTACTGCTTTTTGCTAGAAGCACTAGGAACAGTTGCTATTAAGTATTTATGATATTTGGGTAAACAGCATCCTAAAATGGAAGTGAATGATATAATATTCTCTAAGTCAAAGCTTTTCCTTTAATCTTTAGGTATTTATTGAAAGGGGAAAAAAATCACAGTTTCTTCTGATATTTGGCTCTGGCATTAAAATTTCTCTTTAAAGATCATGTTTTTTTCTTTAGAAATACAGAGTGAGATTTATTGAATTTGGTTTTAGTATCATGTAGAGTTTTTTTCTTTTTTTTTAATTGATGGAGCTTTTCAGAGAAAACAATTTGGCTCAATCACATATTAGTATTTCTAGTGGACGGGCCAAGTGTGAATGCTGAATGGAACATAGATTTAAATATTTTAAGAGTTTACATATAATATTGTCTTTAGTTTTTATGAAAAAAGCAGTATTTTTATAGATGGATTCAAGATAAATACAACTGTGATTTGTTTTAAAATGTAGGAATATGGATGGCATTGCAAAATGGAGGATAATTTGACCCTATAGATAAATAAATAAATAAATAAATAAATAAATAAATTGTATTTTAAATAGAATTTTATTGTGCTTGGGAATTCTCAATTATTTTAATAATTGTACTGGGGAAAAATCCTCACTGAGTTATTCCCTTTGGAATATTTTTTCTGAATACAACACGTTTAATTCAAAATTCTCCAGGTAATTAATTGCCTTTTCAAAACTCTTTATGGGTTATGACTACAGAGTTCTCCTTTAAGAAATTAGTAGTTGACTATCAGAGGAGATAAAGTTGTTGTTGTTCTTTGTTATATTTATTTGTGAAATTTTATTTTTAAAAACTTGTACTAGGGAAACTTTAGAATGGAATATCTAACTATAGTCTTTCTTTCCTGAAGTTATTGATGAACTTTAGCTTGAGTGGGTTGTGTTGAAAGACTTAGCATATGTTGGAGCAGATGTAGAGAAAAAAGAAGCCCCACCATGCACTGCTGGTGGGAATGTAAACTGGTGCAGCCACTATGGAAAACGGTACAGAGGTTCCTCAAAAAATTGAGAACAGAGCCTCCACCTGACCCACAATCCCTCTTCTGGGTGTCTACTCCAAAAATTTGAAAGCATTTACTTGTAAAGATATATGCTCCCTTACATTTATTACAACTTTTTCACAGTAGCCAAGACATTGAAAAAACCTAAGTGTCCTTTGATGGATGATTGGATAAAGAAGAAGTGGTCCATAAGTACAATGGAATACCACTCAGCCGTAAGAAAGGATGAAATACTGCCATTTGAGACAACATGGGTGGATCTTATGAGTACCATGCTAAGCAAAATAAATCAGATCGAAAAGGACAAGAACCATATGATTTCACTCATATGTGAGATATTAAAGAGCAAAAACAAACAAGCAACACAAACAAACTCATAGACACAGACAACAACATGGTGGCTACAAGAGGGCAATGGGGTTGGGAGAAGGATGAAGAGGGTAGAGAGGCCAGATACACAGTGACAGAAGGAGGCTGGGCTTTGGGCGGTAAGCATACAACGCGATCTGCAGATGATGAATTATATAATTGTACACTTGAAGCTTATATTAACCGATGTCACCTCAATGAATTAAATTAAGCTTAATTTAATTCAAGAAAGACAGTATAATAACAGAGAGATTTGTATTATTTTAACCGTACTGGCCAACAGAGCCTCTTGAATTTCATCTGGAGGGGGCTGAGGATTACAGCATTCATCTCAATATGGTTAAACTTGAGCTATTTTGTCACGAAAGGAGTAAATTATCCTCAGGGAGGCCAGCCTTTGGGGAAACCCTGGCAGGGCTGGTAGGTGGACAAATGGAGCCTTTACAGTCACAGATGATCTCACTAATAGCTGAGATTTTTATCAACATGATGGCAGTTTGGGAATGTTGCCCACTTTGTAAAAAATTTTTTTTTTTGGCAGGGCAGACTAACATTTACTTTTATTTTATTTTTTATTTTATTTTTTATTTTTATTTTTTTTATTTTTATTTTTTTTATTGATTATGCCATTACATTTGCTCTATTCCCCCCTCCTTTCCCCTCCACCCTGCATACCCCTCCCCCACCATTTCCCCCTTTAGTTCATGAACATGTGTCTCAAATTCTTTAGATTCTGTATTTCCCCTACTATTCTTACCCTCCCCCCTATCTATTTTCTATCTACTGTCTATACTACTTATTTTCTGTACCTTCTCCCCCCTTCCCCTCCTCCCACTCCCCTGTTGCTAACCCTCCATGAGATCTTCATTTCTATGGTTCTGCTCCTGATCTAGCTATCCTCTTAGTTTGCTTTTGTTTTAGGTGTGGTTCTTAATAACTGTGAGTTTGCTGTCCTTTCACTGTTCATCTTTTTTATCTTCTTTTTCTTAGGTAAGTCCCTTTAACATTTCATATAGTAAGGGCTTGGTGATGATGAACTCCTTGAATTTGGTCTTATCTGAGAAGCACTTTATCTGTCCTTCCATTCTAAATGAAAGTTTTGCTGGGTAGAGCAATCTTGGTTGTAGATCTTTGGTTTTCATGACTTGGAATACCTCTGTCCAGCCCCTTCTTGCCTGTAAGGTCTCTTTTGAGAAATCAGCTGACAGTCTGATGGGAACTCCTTTGTAGGTGACTGTCCCCTTAGTTCTTGCTGCTTCTAGGATTCTCTCCTTCATTTTAATCTTGGCTAATGTAATTATGATGTGCCTTGGTGTGTTCCTTCTTGGGTCCAACTTCTTTGGGACTCTCTGAGCTTCCTGGATTTCTCAGAAGTCTATTTCCTTTGCCATCTTGGGGAAATTCTCCTTTATTATTTGTTCAAATAATTTTTCAACTGGTGGTTGTGCCTTTCCCCCTTCTGGTACCCCTATAATTCGGATGTTGGAACGTTTAAAGATGTCCTGGAGGTTCCTAAGCTTCTCCTCATTTTTCTGAATTCTTATTTCTTCATTCCTTTCTGTTTGATCATTTTTTTCTTCCGTCTGGTCCTCTCCCTTGATTTGAATCCCAATTTTCTTTCCATTACTATTGGTATCTTTTGTATCAGCATTCATTTCAATTAATTTAGCTTCCATATGTTTCTCTAATTTGTGACTAAAATCCACCAGTTCTGTAAGGATCTTTATAACCAGTGTTTTGAACTGTGCATCTGAAAGACTGGCTATTTCTTCATCACTTAGGTCTATCGGTTCTGGGGCTCTGAGTTGTCCTAGAGCCATTTTTGGTCTATTCGTGCTGTTAAGTAAGCGGAGCGAAGCCTTAGTTGTTTACCAGGACGGGGCGACCCAGGTCGCTGGTTTGTGACCTTGTGTGTGGGGGCGGGGTCAGAGAGGGAGCAATGGCGTTCCTCTCCGCTAGCCCAGGGCATCCAGTCACTCAAACGCCTCGGGCTTGCTTATCCGATCCTAATTTTGCGAGCCTGCTGCACCGTGTGGGTTTCCCTTCTCACTGGTTTCTCCGCACGTAAATGCGCGCGACCGACAGACCCACCGCGCCTATTCCCTGTGCGCTCCGGCAGCCAGCTTGCTGGCGATCAGCCCTTGGTTGCCCGTGCGCACCGCGCACCGCCCCGGGAATTTTTTCTTGCTAACCTGCTCCGCTGCTGGCCTCGCTCCTTGTACCGGTCCAGCCGAGTATCTAGTTGTCCTTTGGACTCCGTATTGTCGATTTTCCATGTGGCTTGGTTGTTACTGCTGTTAAAAATAGTTGTTCTTAGATTTGGTTGTGCACAGAGGTGAGGTGGAACCTCCACCTACTTCTCCATCTTGGCGGAAGTCCTCCCACTTTGTAAAAATTTAAGGAATTTCAAAAACTATAACTCTCTTCAAGGCAGAAATTTCTCCACCCATAACATAGAAAAACTATAATTCTGCCTCAAATTAGAATAGCACTTTATACTTTACAAAGTATAATATTATCTTAAAAATTATATTTGATACTTAAAAAATAAAGTGTATGTATTTCAGGGTAAGAGCAGATAGAAAAGAATGCCTCTTTATTTTTTTATGATTTACCAAACTAATGTATAAAATCGTACGTGGAATGTATTTATACAAAGCCAAGCAAATGAAAGAAATCTAAACATTTAAGTCTTTCAGCTCTTTGGGACTGTGAAAGCAGAATATTTGCTGAATTGATCATATTTTCTTGCTAGCAGTTATTTAAATAGGTCTGACCTTTTTCATTATCAGTTCATTATTTAAAGTTAATCTTTAATTGAGAAAAACTGATAACATGGTTTTCCTGTTTTGTTTTTGATTTTCGTCCTCCCTCTGTCGCCCATCGAAATCCAGTGACCAGGTTGGGCTGCACCCCTCCCTGTATAAGA